AAAAAAAAAAAAAAAAGATGCAAAGCCCAATTTGAGATCAAGTTGATAAAAGTGTTGAGACAGCATCTGGAAGAGACCCAGGCTCAATTCCCAGCCAGTGCACTTCAAGTGCAGCCACCACCTGTCAGTAAAGGCTTGCATGTTGCTAAAACGCTGAACAGGTTTCAGGGCTTCCAGACTAAGACAGACTAGGAAAAAAGGCTTGGTGATTTGCTTCCCAAAATCAGCAAATAAAAACTCTATGGATCATACAGTCTGGACCCTTTATGAACAGATTAGGACCAACTTGAAGGCAGCTAACAATAAGAAGTCCATGACTCAACAATGGAGGCAACACAAAAAAAACACTTGCTGTCAAGTAAACCCTCACTCCAAGCAACTCATGTGTGTCAAACTAAATGACCTAAAGGAATTAGAGGATCTGACACCAATTTCAACTATGCCCCTGGATGGCTCTGTAACCCCTGCCCTCCATTGCTTAAGAGGAAGATAGACTAAAGATTCTGTAAAGATAAAAAAAGAGGAAGTTGCATTAACAAAACTGCAAAGACAGAAAGGTAGAAATGAAAACTTCCGGAAACTAAAAATGTTTGTGGGTTATAAATCTAAATAAATTTTCAAATTGCAGATTATCCATTTCATCCAGAATCAAATGGTATTTTGTAGTTTCATACAAGTATCCACAAACTATTTACTTAGTGAAGATTTCTTCTATGAATTTGCAAATGCATCTAAGAGAAAGTCTTATTTCTATATTACTATGGGAAAACAAGGCAGGGCTTACACTACACCACTTTACAAAACAGATGCTCAAAATTCTTTTCGAAATTGGGGGGGGAACAGCCTTTAGCAAAGGCGTTTCAATAGGGGGAAAACATGGGTAATTCTTTCAGAAATCCTTTCAAAGTAATTCCTCACCCTCTTCCATAGCCTAGGGCAAATTTTATAACCCATCCGGATTCCTTAAAAGGAAGGGTCAACTTAAAGCTACCACTGAGCTAGGGAATTTATAGCAACAGCCCTCTCTTAACAAAAAGGCAGAACTGGCCGCTCCCAGTTATTATGCTTGATATCCAGTGTAATTAAAGGTTCTGAAATAATGCCAAAGAAATCTGTCGTCATCTTCACTACCACACTGAATGAAAACAAAGCAGTATTCTCATCAGCATACACAAGCTGTGGAATCTTAAGTACTATTTTGGTGGGGTGGGAGTGGAAGGAAAGTTGCCACAATCCTCGCTTCCTGGGAATGGTTCCAAAGCTGGAGATGGTGCGGTTTACTGGGCCGGCGCGCACCAAGCCGGGAAAGCGCCGGAGCGCTCCAGGCCGCGGATGTGCGGGCGCCGGGGACAAGGCCGGCGCGACCCTGCTACTCTCGGCGGGCACTTTCCTATCCCTGCACTGAGGTGCTAGGGCCCAGAGAGAGGGGTTCAGCGGACTATGTGCCTCCGGAATCAGCCGCGGAGGGGCGGAAGAGCAAGGCCAGTGTCGCCAGGAGGGCTAATGGAGGGCCGGCACGGCTGGGACGCGCTCCCGTCCGGGAACCCCTGCCGCCAGGCTCTCGGAGAGGTCAACCGCGGGGTGTGGGGGGGAAGGCCGCCACCTTACCTTCTCCTCGCCGTCGTAGATGCGCACCCCGCGCTGCTGTATCACAAGGGTCTCGTTGATCTCCAGAAGGCCGCTGGTCCACAAGAACCGGTCCATGGCCACCAGGCCGGCCTCGGCCGCTTGCGGGTGCCAGTACTCCTGGGCCGCGAGCCGAGCGCCAGCCAGCCTGCGGCGACCCCTGGCGGCGGGCGGGGGAGAGACAGCAGGGAAGAGGAGCCGGGAGAGGCCAGTCCGGGGGCGGAGCCAAGGGGAACCCGCGCTGCGTGAGAGCCGCCCGGGGACTTGAGGACATGCTTGGAGCGCCCCCTGGCCGTCTGCCAGCCAATAGCCTTTTCGACCTGAATGTCCACCCCATTCTTGGTCCAGCTGAGTCACAAACCCAGACCCCGTAAGGGACTTTGAAGAAGCCCACACCACAGCTTGGACCTCCGTATTATTCATTACCCCTGCCTATTTGTGGCAGTTTTCTCGTCACTGCACATCATGTTGTAATACTCATTCAAGGCTGAAAGAAAATTTTTTTCCAAAAAACTCATATTTAACCTCATGCGTAAGTTTTTATACAACTGCAGTCAGTACTACCCTGTGTTCCTGTTTTTTTCTCCTTAAGACGTTTTCATTTAAACATTTCCAAGTTTTAACACAGACCCCTTGGATTTACTCTAGAGAATATTTCATTACATAAAAAATGAAAACCAAATTGTTCATCAAATAATTCTGACTCATAGCAACCCTATAGAACAGAGCAGAATGACCCTATAGGGTTTCCAAGGCTGTAAATCTTTACAGAAGCAGATTGTCTCATCTTTCTCCCAAGATGTGGCTGGTGGGTTGGAATAGCTTACCTTTAGGTCACCAGCTAGGAGCTCTGGTAGCATAATGGCTAAAGCACTTGACTGCTAACCAGAAGGCTGGCGGTTCGAACCCACCAGCCACTCCTTGGAAGGAAGGTTGGGCAATCCTACTTCCGTAGTGATACTGCCTCGGAAACCCAAGGAGGGGTCACTGTGAGTCGGGGCTGACTCGATGGCACATAACAACAACAACAACACAGGTCACCAGCTGAATGTCTTATCTACTGCACCACCAGAGCTCCTTTTCAGTACCCATATTGTGCATGTTGATTGGTCCTCACAGGCCTGTGTGTGACCTTCCTCCCACCGGCAAGGCCTCCACCATCGTTTGCTCTTTCATTTTATTTATTTGTTCTGTATTATAAATGGAGCTCTGGTAGCATAGTGCGTAAGGCACTTGACTGTTAACCAGAAGGTTGGGGGTTCAAATCCACCAGCCACTCCTCAGAAGGAAGGTTGTGCAATCTAATTCCGTAGTGATACTGCCTCGGAAACCCAAGTAGGGGTCGCTATGAGTCAGGTCTGACTCGACCACACATAACAACAACAACATTATAAATGGAGCGTCTATATTCTCCCCACTTTAGAATTCTTTTCTTAAGAGTGTCTTCCCAAAGTAGAATTACTGCTTTAAAGGGTATGAAGAAATTTCAGAGGGCCTTCTACATATTGGGAATTTACTTAACCAGGATGCTATGCCACCGGCAAATTGGTCTTTTCCCGGGCATTATCATTTTGTTTGTTTTTGCTACTTTAGGGTTATTTTTTTCTTGCCTGTTTCTCAGTAACTTTGAATCAAAAGAAAATCATTATCACGAAGAATGGTTAACAATGTAAACATTCAAAGCTGAATAGCTTCCACTTGAGAGCCTAGGAATAGAGTCACACAGGATAAACCTTGGTGATATACAATTACATTTTTGTTCTTTGGTTTTAACAGGCATTGCTTTACTTTTTAACTTTTTACTTAGAATTTTAGGCTCACAATTAAAAAATAGAACAGAGATTTCTATATACCCCTGCCCAGCTTTAACATCTTAAATAAACCTATATGATTATCAACACTCTGAAATTAACCTTGGTATAATACTATTAATTATAAACCTTATTCAAACTTTACCTATTTTTCCACTGATGTCCTCAGTTTTGTTTTGTTTTGTTTTGTTTTTTGAACTTGACACTTTGAAGAGTAGTTATTTTGTAGACTGTTCCTTACTTTTTGATTGAGGATGCAATGAAAAGTGAACTATATATATGTATATATTGTTGTTATTGTTGTTATGTGCCGTCGAGTCGGCCCCGACTCATAGCGACCCCTCCTTGGGTTTCCGAGGCAGTATCACTACGGAAGTAGGATTGCCCAACCTTCCTTCCGAGGAGTGGCTGGTGGGTTTGAACCGCCAGCCGTCTGGTTAGCAGGCAAGTGTCTTAGCCACTATGCTACCAGAGCTCCCATATGTATATATAGACATGTGTATTACATAAAGGATTGACAGAGTAGCTGCCATGTTCCATCAAGTCATCAAGTCCTACCCCTTATTGGGGTTATTAACTAAGGCATCACCAATTTCCAAAAAGCCTATTCACCCATGCCCACCCTGAATACCTGTAACAGGGCCCAAAAATCCAACATGACAACAGTCACAGTTGTCTTCAAATCCTTTTGCTTGTGTACCTCCTAAAATAATTTTGAAAGACTATGTACTTCCTCATAATCACATGCTGTTGCTGTTAGGTGCCATGGAGTTGGTAATAACATACCAAAAAAAAAAAAAAAAAAAAACACCAACTCACTGCTATGGAGTCAATCCTAACTCATAGCAACCTCTCCTTGGGTTTCTGAGGAGGTTTCACTACAGAAGTAGATTGCCCAACCTTCCTTCTGAGCAGTGGCTGGTGGGTTAGAACCGACAGCCCTTCTCATTAGCAGTCAAGTGCCTTAAGCACTTTGCCACCAGAGCTCCCTGGTAATAACATACATGCCTGATAATAGCAGGTAAATTAGTTTTACCTGTTGGTCCTTCACGTAGAGGAACTTTGTTTAACTCAGTATACTCAGAATGGGTTGGGAAAGGGACATATTACTATCTTGTTATAATATTTGTCATAAAATTATTTTCATATATTTGTGGACAAAATTATTTTATCATGTGCTTGAAATAAATTTTTTACTAAAACATCAGTGCCACAGATTTTTCTCATACAATTTATGGAAAATGCTTGCCAGTTCTTATTATCAAAGCAGCCATCTAAATTAGATTTCTTTTTGACAAGATAAATCTGATTTTATTTTTCAATGTAAATAAATTGTTAATACATATTTCAAGGAATATTATAAAAATCACTGCTAAATTATACAACATGCAACATAATGCAATGCACTGCCATCAAGTTGGATCCAACTCATAGCGACCCCTCCCTATCTTATAAAAAAGATGGGAAGATTACAATAGCAAAAAGATGGAAACAACCTACGTGCCCATCAGCAGAAAAGTGGATGACCAAACTATGGTACATACACATAATGGAATCCTATACAGCACTAAAGGATAATGTAGAGTCTGCAAAATGCCACATGATATGGATGAACTTGGAGGACATTATGCTGAGTGAAATAAATCAATCACAGAAGGGCAAATATATATTAGTTCATTGTTGTGGAGGGTCAAGGAAAGGTTTATATATGGAGGGAAACTTTCTTTGTTGGTTGCCAGGGGTGGCAAGGGAGTGGAGGGAACACAGCAAAAAAAAAAAAATGCATTGACCCACGTCACTTTAGTTTTGTGTATTGCACTGTACATAAATTATATTTCAATAAAATGCATTAAAAAAAAAAAAAGACTGGAAAAGCAGCCAATCTTAAAATGCTGTACATCTAATATAGTTTTTAAACTAATATTTTATTGTGTTTTAGCAGAAAGTTTACACAGCAAATTAGATTCCTCTTTAACAATGTTTATACAAATTGTTCCATGTCATTGGTTACATTTTCACAATGTATCAGCTTTCTCATTATTTCCAATCTGTTTGCTCAGTTTCCATCCATCTAGTTTCCTCTCCTCTCCTTGCCTTCTCATCTTTGCTTTTGGTAAAATGTTGACCATTTAGTCTCATATAGTTGATTGTTTAAGGAAGTACATTACTCATGGGTGATACTGTTTATTTTAAAAGGCAATCTGTTATTTGGCTGAAAGATAACTTCCAGAGATAGCCTCAGTCCCAAGTTCAAAAAATATCTTAGAGTAATAGTCTTGGGATTACTCTGGTCTCCATCAGTCCAGAAGGTCTGGTCTTTTTTAGGAATTTGAATTTTGTTCTACATTTTTCTTCCATTCTATCTGGGACCTTCTATTGTGTCCCTGGTCAGAATGGTTGGTAGTGTTAGCCGAACACCTTCTTGTTTTCTGGTCTCAGGTTAGAAGAGATTGTGGTTTGCATGGGCTATTAGTCCTGTGGACTAGTTTCTTCTTTGACCCTTTGGTTTCCTTCATTCTCTTTTGCTCCATATGAGTAAAGACCAATAATTGTGTCTTAGATGGCCACTCACAAGCTTTTAAGACCCCAGATGCTACTCACCAAACTACAATGTAGAACATGATCCTTATGAATTATGTTATGCCAATTGACCAAATTGTCCCCCAAGACTATGGTCATAAGCTTTAAGTTCAATAAACCAATACCATGAGTTGTTTGGATGTGTCTAGGAGGCCTCCATAACTGCACTTTATTATACCTAGGGATATATATGCAGCACACACAAACGTGTATAGACATATGCCTACAGATACACCTATACATGCATGTGCATTTACTTGCATATGCCTTCTTACACAAATATGCATACATATCTACATATGCAACCATGCACATATTTTTTGGTTGTTTACTGTTATTGCAAAATTATGTAGGTTACAGCATTTACTGAAATTGTCCCTTTGACTTTCAAACTTCTTAGTGTCTTCATTTACCATGGTCAGGTTGTGCAGATTTCACCTATATTTGGAATTGACTTTCCCATCACCAAAAACAAAAAGGGAATACTATCTAGAAAATAAGGAGCTCTGGTAGCATAGTGGCTAAGGCACTTGACTGCTAACCAGAAGGCTGGTGGTTCAAACCCACCAGCCACTCCTCGGAAGGAAGGTTGGGCAATCTACTTCCGTAGTGATACTGCCTCAGAAACCCAAGGAGGGGTCGCTATGAGTCAGGTCTGACTCGACGGCACATAACAACAACAATAACAACATCTAGAAAATGATTTCCCTCCTTCGTCCTCCCATCCCTATAACTATCTTAGTTCTCTAGTGCTTCCATAACAGAAATACAACAGTGC